TGGGGGGAGGGGATGGATGGGGGGGTATGGCTGGATGGGGGGGGGGGGGGCTGGATGGGGGTGCTGGATGGGGGGGCTGGATGGTGGGGGGTGGATGGGGGGGGGGTTGGCTGGATGGGGGGGGTGGCTGGATGGGGGGGGATGGCTGGATGGGGGGGGTGGCTGGATGGGGGGGGGGATGGCTGGATGGGGGGGGATGGCTGGATGGGGGGGGGATGACTGGATGGGGGGGGTGGCTGGATGGGGGGGGGGGGTGGCTGGATGGGGGGATGGCTGGATGGGGGGGGATGGCTGGATGGGGGGGGGAATGGCTGGATGGGGGGGGGAGCCTGGCTGGATGTGGGGGGGGGCTGGCTGGATGGGGGGGGTGGCTGGATGGGGGGGGGGATGGCTGGATGTGGGGGAGGGGATGGCTGGATGTGGGGGGAGGGGATGGATGTGGGGGGAGGGGATGGATGGGGGGGGGGGATGGCTGGATGTGGGGGGGGATGGATGGGGGGGGGATGGCTGGATGTGGGGGGAGGGGATGGATGGGGGGGGATGGCTGGATGTGGGGGGAGGGGATGGATGGGGGGGGGATGGCTGGATGGGGGGGGATGGCTGGATGGGGGGGGCTGGATGGGGGGGGGATGGCTGGATGGGGGGCTGGATGGGGGGGGGGGATGGCTGGATGGGGGGGGGGGGGATGGCTGGATGGGGGGGGGATGGCTGGATGTGGGGGAAGGGATGCTGGATGTGGGGGGAGGGGATGGCTGGATGTGGGGGGAGGGGATGGATGGGGGGGGGATGGATGGGGGGGGATGGATGGATGGGGGGGGATGGCTGGATGTGGGGGAGGGGATGGATGGGGGGGAGGGATGGATGGGGGGGATGGCGGATGTGGGGGGAGGGGATGGATGGGGGGGGATGGGTGGGATGGGGGGGGGGATGGCTGGATGTGGGGGGGGCTGGATGGGGGGGGATGGCTGGATGGGGGGGGCTGGATGGGGGGGGATGGCTGGATGTGGGGGAGGGGATGGATGGGGGGGGGCTGGCTGGATGGTGGATGGGGGGGGGCTGGATGGGGGGGGGATGCTGGATGTGGGGGAGGGGATGGATGGGGGGGGAGGGGCTGGATGGGGGGGAGGGGATGGATGGGGGGGTGGCTGGATGGGGGGGGGGTTGGCTGGATGTGGGGGGGGGGTGGATGGGGGGGGATGGCTGGATGGGGGGGGGTGGCTGGATGGGGGGGGGTGGCTGGATGGGGGGGGGATGGCTGGTGGGGGGGGTGGTGGATGGGGGGGGGATGGCTGGATGGGGGGGGGATGGCTGGATGTGGGGGGAGGGATGGATGGGGGGGGATGGCTGGAGGTCGCCCCATCACCCCTAGAGGGAGCTGCAGCTTCCGTCCTTTTACTGATCCTGTGCCGCCCCCTCAAGTTTATCCGTCATTTCCGGAGTGTTGGGCCTGTCCTGTCCCATCTTTATTGATGAGGTTTGTCTGTGCGGCTCCGCAGTGCTGTGTTCCCGCCGCTGTGCTCCCCGGTGGGCGCTGTCCCTCACGCCTCTGTGTCCTGCTCTGCCTCATGGTTTCCCTCCGCGGTGTCGCTGTATTTTACTGCCTCCTCTGACCCGCGGATGGGGCTTTGGGCCTCACGGCCTCCGAGGCCTCACAGTTTCCCGCCGCGTCTTCGCCATCATCCGCTTTGGCTCCACTTCCATCACCATCTCAGTCCCCGTCATCTTATTGCCACTCCCGACTCTTAACCTTCTCTGTGTTTCCCCACTTTGCTTCCCATCAACTTTCTCACTTCCCTCTTCCTCACCGCTCTCTCAGTCCTTTTCTCCTTTCCCCTTCTCCCCCTTTCACTTGTCTCCCCACCATTTCTCCTCTCACTGCTGCCATTGCCTTTCCCTCTCTTAGATTTCCTGCCATTTTCACTTTTACTTCTCGTTCTATAGCTACTATATCCACTGGTACTTTCATGCACCTTATCCTCTATTATTTCTCCTTCCACACTACTACCCCTCTTTATCCCCTTCCTATTTGTTTCCCTATGACGAGGCTAAACAATTGCTGGGATTTCCCTAAACGGAAAACCCGGGCTTTTTCCTGTCCTTTTATGGGGGTGTTATTCTGGTATCAAACCCCTTTCCCTCTATATATTTCCCCTAACCTCAAAATATTTTACCTCTTATTAGCTCCAAATTACGAATCAAACAATCCATCCAGAAATCTTATCCCCAGTTCTCTCCGCTTTTCTGTCTCCTGACCCAGTTGTCCGAGTGAATTGGACCTTATTGTGTTAATGGGTATCAGCACAGCCGTCATCCCCACTCCACTCCTGAGCTCTGTATTCCTATTGCCTACAGATCAACCTCACTTTGAGAATTAGTAGATATGAACCATTGCAGTTATGGGAGGCGAGGCCCTGGGCTTTCAGTGCAGGCAGAGTAATAAATAGGTCAGGACTCCTGCCCCTCATTTCAATCCAATAACCATAACTGGATGGTCTCCAGCTTTCCTTTGGGTATCTTTTAACTTCCTCGTCTGTTTCTATGTTTCAATAATAGAATGTTGCAACAGAGAAACACATTATTTTGCTGATGAGTTGTGCGGTGATGTTTTTCCCACATCAGCCACTTAATCAAATACCTATATTCCTTCCTTCAAACACCCAATTTCACTAATTAGTACTGAATTAGGGAGAGTAAGCTTCTAGAGAGGGTGGGCATGGAGCTCTTGTGTGCCCACCATTATCTACCATTCAGAATTTTTTCACACAATAATACACCATAATATCTGAAAATCTGTGGGTAAATCTGATAGCACCAAAATTGTGGCAGCCATAATTTCTGGCTTTGACCAGATAGCATCTGCACGGAAATAAGGCGCAGAAGAATGAATGGGCTGCTCCTATGGCGCCATGATCAGCGACGGATGTGGATACCGCCTTTAGATCAGGCGGGCAATCAACTGCTTATTCTTGAAGCGCATATTATAACCCCCTAACGCACCTCACGATTTACAAGAAATGGCTGCAAAATTGCCTGAATACAATGGCACGGGGTTGGACAAGCGCATTTTGAAGAAGTAGCGCAAATAGTTGCACTTAATGATTTAAATGACAAGGAGCAAGCTAAGCTGATTTTATGTATGCTGATGCCCAGTTTTTAATGCTTTGTCAGGAGATGCTAAAACAGGGAATAGGAATGCTACTCAGACAAAGGAAAATGTTTTAACTTGTGTGGGATTTGATAGAGGGGATCCATACAGAACACTGGGAGAGTGTTTGCGAAATCCAAATGAACATCCTGAGGCATTTGGACAGATTATTGGCATGTTATAATCAAGCACCCAGGCAGGGTGAAACCTTGGGCAAGTTTCCTTACTCCACACAAAGCCTAATAATAATCCCTCCAAAAACCAAGAACAATAATAAATTGGTCATTTGCAATCTACGACTGTTTATGGGACATTGCTGTGCGCAATTGGCTGCCGCGTTCGCCCACAAATATACAGTCAATTCACTTTACAGTGTGTTCTGTGAAGCGCTTTGGGACATCCTCCCGATGTGAAAAGCACTATATCAAATGCAAGGATTATTATTATTATTGGTGGAGCATTAAATAGAGCAGCAATAGCAGGACCAGAATTTGACCATTCACTGCCTTGAAGGAACAGCTCTGGAGGAAATGTATGATTCAAGGGATCCTACCCATACAGAAATGTGGATGATACGCAGAATGCAGTTAAAATAGGAGGCAGCCCTGTTTAAGCAGAAACAAGAAAAAGTTGAACAGAGAGCCCAGCAGCAGGAGGAGGGAACTGAGTGAGGTGTTAATGAATTTGGTGAGAGTGGGAATTCGGTGCAGAGGGGGAAAGTGGTGCATAACTATAAAATATATAATAGTTATATTAAAACAATATAAAATGTCTGGGAATATGGCAGGGTAGCTGAGCGGATGCATGCACAATGCGTGCCATGTGGGAACTCCAGGATGCTTTGTGTGCCCAGGACAAACGTGTGTAGTAATAATAATAATCCTTGCATTTGATATAGCGCTTTTCACCTCGGGAGGACGTCCCAAAGCGCTTCACAGAACACACTGTAAAGTGAATTGACTGTATATTTGTGGGAGAACGCGGCAGCCAATTGCGCAATTGGCTGTTGCGTTTCGCCTACAAAGAGTCAATTAATTTTACAGTATATTCTGTGAAGCACTTTGAGACGTCTAGAAGACGTGAAAAAGCGTTATATCAAAAGCAAGAATTATTTATAATGATTATTACCATAATACCTGTTACATTCAGGTGATCGAATTGGGCGTACCATAATATCTGGATACTTTCGGATAATTAAATTGGATATGCAATAATACCTGGATACTTTCAGCTGATTGAACTGAGAATCGTACAATAATATTTGGATACCTTTTGAAGAGCCATTAAAAAGGACACATTAAAATGGACATTAAATTGGATATTGCTCCTCTAATCCTCCCGCAGCATTTGGTAAGATCAACTTAAATCATTCTGAACTGTAAGTGGATACGGAAGTATTATTGTGATGTATTCTTTTAATTACTTATAACTATTACTAATCTGAATTAATTAACATTTATATTTTTGTACATTTGTGTTAGTCCTTATGTCACCGCAGAGGCACAAGTTTAAATTAACTCTTACAACAGCGCTTACTGAATATACTGTGAATAATTTAGATTTCAACTAATTCTGGTGAATTTTAGGCACAGGTTGGCAAGAGACAAGACTTGGGGACCTCAGACTATGACTGCTGGAATATTAACTAGCTAACACCACATAACTGATTATTGCAAGCAATATCTGGTAAGCTTCCCATTACATGTGCGAGTGCGTGTAAATTGGAAAAGAATAAAACAGTCTAGACATTAACTTTAATTGACTGCCTGTAAGTCACTCAGAATGAGAAAAGAAACCAATTGAGTCTTTTGCAAAATGACAAATGAAAACAAAAATACATTAGAAAAAAGGCGTATTTACGTATTTGAAAGTAGTAGATTTTAATTCAGTGACAACAACAACAAAATTACATTTATAGAGCGCCTTTCACGTCGGGAGGACGTCCCAAAGCGCTGAGAGTCTCGTCTATTCATTCCGCCACCAGATGGTACGAGCAGTTCAGCAGATAAAGCAGCAATAGCGTTTGCTATGTACTGCCACCAGCCGTAAAGCGAGGACACAGTGGAACCCGAAACAAGGAGCATTGTTTGACTGACTGGTTCTGCCATTGCTTTCAAGACCAATAGTGATCACCGACAACAGCCCTGAAACACATGCAGGTTTTTCTCCCATTCCATGTGTTCAAGGCAGAACAAATTCCAAATATGAGATGATAAATGTATTTAAGAGAAAAAATACTGCAAAGCCAATGGATGAGATTGCATGATTAACAGCTATGCTCTGTTTGACCAGTAATTACAATTACATAATTCAAAGAGAGCATGACAGGGAGTGCACCTGAGCTAACGCAGATAACTTTATGGTACTGCATATTGGTCAATAAAAATAAGATGCACATGGACAGGATAGAACTTATTTTGGAGTGGGAATTTGTGAGAGAATCAAAGTGCGAGGTTAGTCAGTGAAAAGGATAAGAGAGATAAAATGAGATCGCACAATTTTTGAAAGAGGTGAAAATGTGAGGGAAAATAATCGTGAATGAATGTTTGAGAGCGTGAGCGTCTGAGACCAACTGTGAATGAATGTGAGTGAATGCGTGAGGAGAATAAGTGTGAATGAAAAAATATTCAAGTGTATGAATGTGAGTCCAAGAATGAATGAGAATGTGTGAAGTGAAACAGTGCGTAAATGTGTGAGAGACAATGACAGTGAGTGAGAAAGCGTTTGAGAATGCGGGAACATGTAAAGGAATGCATTTGTGAGAGTGAATGAGAAGTGAGCATACTTGAAAATGAGGAAATTATGGAAAACTGCCAGCTCAGCTTTCTTAGTGTTACTGAAACTGATATGCATGTACACAACTCCAACACATCATAAAATTGGAACAATAAAATACTTTTCTGGAGGATTGTTTTAAGTCAAGGCTGATACCTTGTTGTCTGCAACAACATTGGGCGTGCCTGATTGACGGCAGATTCAGAGCTGTCTGTAAACTCATCTTTCGAAGCAACACTAATGGGTTTGAGAACTATACGCACATAAATATTATTCATAGCAAGGATGGGTTGGAGCTCACTTCAGCCTCTGTCAGCACCCAGGTATTGACGTCACATGCACCAAAAGCCCAAGAACACCAATAAACTCACCCCCGTCTAGTGGATATGTGAATGCACTGCTCTTCCTGACATACTGTAGTCTCTGGTTACACTCTGCCAAAAGGATATACAAGTGGCTGCCATCTGAAAGGGTCGGACACAAATATCTGAACTTATTTTTTTAAATCCACCCCATCTTTAGAGAGTTCAGAGGTCAGAGGGTGATTCTAGCTGAAAGAGGTCAGCCAGGCCATGTCACCTGAAAGGACAATTCTGGTTGAGGGAGGTCAAAGAGAGATTTCTGCCAAGTTGAAAGGCAACATGATCAGAGGGTGAATTGACCCAAAGGGAGGTTAAAGGGTAACATGACCAGAGGAAGGTCAGAAGGCCAGATGCCACCTGAGGGAGGTTAAGGAGGTCAGAGGGCGATGTCACTGGGGGAAGTCAGAGGGTGATGTCTAAAGCCAATCTGAAACCAAGAAAAGTACTTGTGATACGTGCCATTAATAAATGGGTGGAGAACTACTCTCCTGAGATTTTCTCAAATTCGTTCATAACACAGAGTTTTACTTTGTTTTGCCTTTTCCATCAACAACATTGTTGAATGATGAGAAAGGCAGTCTTTATAATGCACACATGAGGTCACACTGGATATTCAACTTGTGAAGAATGTACCTGAACTTGATATTATAGCTGATGTTTAGAAACAACGATGAAATATTTTTGGAAAAGGGAAGAAGAAAAACAAAATCCTGCATTTTACAATATGTTGGAAAGACTGTTCATCTAAATTACCTGATTAAAATAACTAAGTTATAAATAAAGAATAACACAGCGGCTAGTGTGTGACACACAGGACAACTCAGATTGCAGTACATGACACAGAGTCTGCATGTATCATACAAAGCATAACTGATTTGAGACAGTGATGTCCAGTCCTAGAATCTGAATGAGAAGTGACAGCAGCCTTTGCTGCGCTTTAGAATGGGGCTGAAGTCCCAGGGACAGCTGCCCTCCAGGAGGCTGCAGTTGAAGTCTCCAGGGACAGCAGAGTTTATTGCATTTTACCAGTCCATTGTGTTCTGTTTGCTTTCCTGCAAGCAATCACTGTACTTACTACCAGTCCCTGATGTCTTATTTTACTCAGTGGACAGCTCAAGGTGTGAGCAAGTGTCTTAATGTATATCCTGCTAAATCCGTGCAGGGTGGAGCTGAAAGGTGTAACTCTTGGTCTCTCTCTGCTTCAGCAGCTCTAAATTTAAAATTCGGTAACAAGGGGTATTGAAAAGGTATCAGTCAGCGTGGAGAGAACATGACATTTAGAAAAATCTCATAATCCAGCCTGCACCCAAACTATATTAAAACGTGTTTAACAATGAGAATACTTTACACTCCTATCTGCAGAATTTGAATTACTGTGTCAAGTCGGGTGATCTCACTCAAAGCAGCAGTGCAAGACACTGGGTGTACCTCAGTGGCCCTTAACTAGGGAGAAACAAATCTCAGGGATAATATTCCTCAACACAAGCCAGCAAGCCCCTGCTGCAGATGTCCTCGTCTGTGTTTTGTTGGTGAGGATAGTGTTGGGTTTGAGAGTAACCACTCTATCCCACTTTAAGTCACACATGTTGAACAGCCACGTGACAAAGCACTGGAGAGCAGTGCTCTCCCTGGCAAATCCATCCTCAGTCCACTGAACAGCAGCTGTTTCTGGGGACTCCAATATCAGTCGAGTGGAGGGCAACTGTCCCTGGGTCTCCAGCCCCATTCTTCATGCCCCCACCAAGTGAGTGGGGCAGAAGAAAAATCAGAGGCTTTCCATCCTGCAGGTTGGAAAGAAGTGCACATTATGCAGAACCAAAATATGAGTGGATCACATGACATAATCTAAGGGTCAACTGCTTTGCCAATCGAATACTAGGGTCTGGCTCAAGTACTTAAATAGTTCCCCTTTCTGGTCTCTGTGGGCATTGATGGCTTGGGTATGCATGGTGTTACACACAACAGTTCCACTGTTCATTCAAGTACCACAGTATAAAGAAAAGGGCAACTGATCAACATGCCATAATTGTAGGCCACGTGGGAAAGTCTAACATCTATTTCTGACAGTGTCTTTATTTCCTTGGTTTGTATTATTTCCTGTTCTGATCTAACCCTTTTCCATAATACAGATCTGTTGTGTTTGCATGATTACAGTACAATAAATAAGTCCCTTTCACATTTCGCTTCCGACACAAAGTGGAGGCCTGCACCACCGTTGCTGTCCTCATTCACACGCCAGTTTACTGTCAAAGCTGGAGAGTCCGATTGCAAAGGCCTGGAGGGCGCATACTGGGTAGTTGTAGTCCATTGTGAAAACATCTTCAGCCACTCTTCCAAACTGCATCACAATGTAGTCAGCTGGTGAGACGAGAGGGAGGAAGATGGAGGAGGAAGGACGTGTATAGAGGAGGAGGAGGAAGAGGGTGAAGAAGCAGGAAAGAGGAGGAGGGAGGGAGGAAGGGCGAGGAGGAGGAGGATGAACAGGGAGAGTAAGAAAGGGAAAGTAGGAGGAAGAGAGGGAAGAGGAGGAAGTTGGGAGAGGGAAGGAAAAAGGGAGAGTATAAAAAGTGGAGAAGGGAGAAAGAAAGGGAAGAGGAAATAGTTAACAACCATTCCAAGACTTTCAGATCCTCGGTTTCTATTCATGAGGCTGGTGCTAACTACACACTGCACAGGGCAATGTGCATGGAAGTGTACGAAACAATGGTACACAAGAACATTGTCTCCTACCGTTCTTGAGACAGTTTGATCAAAAATATCTACTGTTACATACAGTGGCACTCCGAGAATCATTCCCGACACATCTAATTTTTCACTGGGGTCAGCTAGTACACATGAAAATAAAAGCTATTTTTAAATTCAGGATCTAAGATTGTGTGTCAGCTTGGCTCAGTGATAGCACTCTCACCGAGTCAGAAGCTTGAGGGTTCAAGCCACACATGGGGCTTGGAATTACATACTCTAAGCTGATGCTCCAATGCAGGGCTGGGGTGGTGTTGCATTGTCGGAGGTGTCGTCCTTTAGATGAGATGTTAAACAGAGGTCTCATCTGCCCGTTCAGGTTGATTTTAAAGATTCCATGACATTATCACTATTCAAAAAAAGAAGGGAGTTTCTCTCTCCCGGTGTCCTGGCCAACAATTCCCTACATAGAATTGGTTCACTTATTTCATGGCTGTTTGTAGGACTTTGATGTGAGCAAACTAACTGCTATAAATAATTCGTCATTTTCAATCTACGACTGTTTGTGGGACATTGCTGTGCGCAATTGGCTGCCGCGTTCGCCCACAAGTATACAGTCAATTCACTTTACAGTGTGTTCTGTGAAGCGCTTTGGGACGTCCTCCCGACGTGAAAAGCGCTATATCAAATGCAAGGATTATTATTATTATTATTATAAGCAAATTGGCTGCCACATTTTGCCCACAAAATGCATAGACACAACATTTTCAAGTACATCCTGTGAAGTGCTTTAAGATGTCTAAACAACATGGCGCTATATCAAATGCAAGGATTATTATTATTACTACTTACGATCGTTGTCATGAACAATCTGAAAGTTCTTGACAGATGCCTGCGTGACTCTCCCATGGAAGTTCAGGACGTAAGACTGTGTGTCATCATTCCACACCGGCGCTTTGTTGTGTAGCTCGATTAGATTTTCCATGTTGCGATTCTGCCACATCGACAACAAGCTTTCATGTTCCTGTGGTTTGAAAGCAGAATGTAATCTTTGCCGCAAGCCCTAACATTCAGTGCTGAGACAGCTGCCCAAATGCAGACAATATAGCATAGAACTACAGGAAGAGATGCTATGTCAGGAGACAGAAACCCTGATCAGTTTCACATTTGCTTATTACATTTACTGCCAGTGCCTGGCTCTCATAAAAGACATATTTCAAGAAAATAAAGAACTGGAATTCAAAAGTTCAGGGACCTCATCTTAAAATAAGGCAAAATGCAACAAAACAGCAAATACAGAATATGGCACCAGACCATTGAATAAGCCTGAACTTGAGGGAGGAGAAAATACATTCGCCCCTGAGTCAGAAGGCTGTGATTTTCAAATCCAATATTGGGACTGAACTAACAGTCTTGGCTGGCAGTTCAATGGTGTATTGCATTATTGGAGGTATCATCTTTCAGATGAGACGTTAAACTGAGGTTCCGTCTGCCTGTTTAGGTGGACATTAAAGATCCCATGGCACTATTCGAAAAGAGAAGTCCCATTATCCCAGCCACCAAAGTACAGTTGAATTCTACGATGAGCTTCGAGACATCCTCTTTGATACATTAAAAGTGCTATATCCAATACAAGGATTATTTTAATATTATTACTTATTGATTAAAGGGCAGTAAGACATTTTATCCTGCATCCATACAGCAACAAGCAGCCTCAGTGAGATAAGCTGTATTTACATGGCCTCTTTCTATTTCTTGGGGAGATTGAGATATCCTCCCTCACAGCAGCACTCTCTAGCATCCAGATTGCAAGCATCTTGTATAACAGGGAGCTGTACAAGCGCCACACTGAGAGTTCGGGAGCCTCAGAGACAGATTAGAATGGCGGAGAGGCTTTGTTTCACTGTGAGGCACACAACACAAGGCCATGATGTGCATCACCTCGATATAATGAATGTGTGTATGAGGGTTTCGGCGGCCTGCCGTGTGAGATAGTGGCGGAGGTGGGGAAAGGCAGAGCGGGCCATGGCAAAGATGTGGGGTAGAAAGGGTAGTTGAGGGTCAAACAAGACGCCAAGGTTCCGGACTGGCTTAGTTAGGTGGGGTGTGCATCCATGGATGGTGATGCTGTGAGCACCTGAGTTGTGGAGGAGCTGACGAGAGGCAATCAGGAGGACCTCGGTCTTGTTGACGTTCGACTGAAGAAAGTTAGCTCTCGTACAGGACTTGATGTCTGACAAACATTCTGTCACGCAGCAGTGGTCCTGGTGCGGAGCCAGAGAGGTACAGTTGGGAGTCATCCGCATACATGTGGAAGTTGACCCTATGTCTGCGAATGATATCACCAAGAGAGAGCATATAGATATTGAAGAGGCGGGGACCAAGGACAGAGCCCTGTGGAACGCCGCACAAGATGGTGCAGGGGCTAGAGGAGAAACCATCTGTGGAGATGAAGTGGAGACGGTGTGAGAGGTACGATTTGAACCATTCAAGGACAGAACTGTGAAGGTTGAGGTGAGAGGAGAGGCAGTGGACAAGATAGAGTGGTCAACGCTGTCGAAGGTAGCAGAGGATGAGGAGGCAGAGAGAGCCCTGGTCACAGATGGACAGAATGTCATTTGTCAGTTTGACCAGGGCTGTTTCTAAGCTGTGGGCAGCACAGAAACCTAATTGGAGGGGTTCGTGAAGGGAGTGGCGGGAGAGGAAGGAGCGAAGCTGGGAAGCAATGACTCTTTCCAGGACCTTGGAGAGGAAAGGAAGGTTGGAGATGGGGTGGTAGTTTGAGAGCAGGAATGGGTCCAGGGAGAGTTTTTTCAGGATAGGAGTGATGACGTCTGTTTTTAAAGGGGTGGGAACAGTTCCAGTGGACAGGGAGAGGTTTAAGATGTCTGTGACTAGAGGGGCAAGGAGGTGAAGCTGGGAAGTAAGGAAAGGGGTAGGGATGGGTTGAGGGAGCAGGTGGTCGGCATAGTTGGGTATCATCCCAGACCTTGACTTCAAAGTCCTCCCGTGGGTCTTGAACCCTGAAGCTTCTGACTCTGAAACGAGAGAGCTAACAATTGAGCCAATATTAAGCAATTCCCAGTGGGCCAATTGATGAAATCCATCTGACATGATCACAAGAAATGCTTCCTAACATTTCTATGAGAACTGGGGCTTCCTAGAGGTCTGATAATAATGATAATAATAATGTCTTACATTTGATATATCACGTCTTTGAGACGTCTCAAAGTGCTTCACAGAATATACTGTAAAGTGAATTGACTGTATATTGTAGGCAAAATATAGCAGCCGATTGCACAGCTGTGTCCTACAAACAGTCTTGGATTGAAGTGACTAATTTATTGATGAAGACCTGTAGCTCAGTGGTTAGAGCACTCGCTTTGCAAGCGAGAGACCTGAGTTCAATTCCAGGCAGGGCGAAACCTTGGGCAAGTTTGCTTACTCCACACGCCTAATAATAATCCCTCCAAAACCAAAAACAATAATAAATTGTTTATTTTCAAGCTATGACTGTTTGTGGGACATTGCTGTGCGCAATTGGCTGCCGCGTTCGCCCACAAATATACAGTTAATTCACTTTACAGTGTGTTCTGTGAAGCGCTTTGGGACGTCCTCCCGACGTAAAAAGCGCTATATCAAATGCAAGGATTATTATTATTATTAAGGCATTCATTACAGAAGGCAATTGTGACTGAATCAATACTTTTAATCAACGGCAACTAAGAAGCGAAAACACTTTGGGATATGGGGAAAAAGGTGGAAGGTGGGATTAATGAAAAGAGCAATTCAAAATAAACAGAGGGAGGAGGAATACCAACAAGGTTAGCCACATGCCTAAAAGGGAGTAAGCGACAAGAGTAAGGGCAAGTAAATGGAATTGAAAGGATTTCTCTTAAAAGAAACAGTACAGACACAATGGGCCAAATGGCCTTCTTCTTTGCTATGGTTCTATGAAATGTGTTGAAAATTTCTACGTTTATATCTTTTTGAATGACTTACATGGCGAGGTCTGACGGGGACTCGTTCATGATTCATGTTCATTCCAGGAATGACCACCGTCATCTTCCTTGGTCCTTTAAAGCCTAGCACGTTAGTCTCCTACAGAAAGTGAAAAGTACAACAACAACTTGGATTTATATAGCGCCCTCCACGCCGGAAGGCGTCTCAGAGAGCTTCACAATAACGGATCCCGGGGCCGAGCCAGGCGGAGGGGGAAGAAGATGACCAAAGGCGTGGTCAAAAAGAAAGGTCTTTAGCCGAGACCTGAAAATAGGAAGAGAGGGGGGAGGCGAAGGGAGTGAAGAAGGGAGTTCCAGAGCCTCGGGGCATAGTGGTTGAAGGCACGGACGCTGATGGTAGAGCGGAGGATTCGGGGGATAAGGAGGAGGCCAGACCCGATGGAGCGAAGGCAACAAGCACTGTTGTGAGGAGAGAGGTCAGAGAGGAGTGGAGGGATTTGAAGACAAGAGTAAGGATCTTGAAGTCGATCCTCTCTGGAACAGGCAGCCAGTGCAGTCTGCAAGGACTGAGGTAATCGGGGAGCGGAGTTTGTTACAGGTAAGAATGCGGACGGCAAGGTTCTGGATGACCTGGAATTTATGAATGGTAGTGGAAGGGAGCCCAGCGAGGAGGGCATTTAAATAGTCCAGCCGAGAGGTGACAAAGGCCTCGACCAGGATTTCGACAGCTTTTGGTGTGAGATATTGGCGGAGACAGGCGATGTGTCGAAGGTGGAAGAAAGCGGTGCTGGTGTGGGATCGGATGTGGGGGAGGGAGGATAATTGGGGGTCGAACCTGATGCCTAGATTGCATACGGATTTGGAGAGTTTTAGGAGGTTGGGTAGGTGGAGGAGGTGAGAATCTTGCGATTTAAGACGTTGACGAGAGCCAAAGGGTATGGCTTCCGTCTTGTCAACATTTAGCTGAAAGAAATTCGCGATCATCCAGCTCCTGATGTCTGACAGGCAGGCTGACAGAACATCAGGGGACTGGGGGTCGCAAAGTGAGGTGGAAAAATGGGTCGTCTGCATACATGTGGAAGTGTACCCCATGTCTGCAGATGACGTCCCCAAGAGGGAGCATATAGATTAGGAAGAGGAGGGGGCCAAGGATGGATCCTTGGGGTACCCTGCAGGTAACCAGGTGAGAGCGGGAGGAAAAGTCTTTTGTGGAGATGTACTGCTGGCGGTTTGTGAGCTAGTGTTAGAATTTACACTTGTTGTATAATGCTAGAATCATAATAGATGTTGCGAACAGGTTAACTTTAAGTTAAGTGTGGGGGACAACTGGACTGACACTCATGATTAACACTCAAGAGCAACAAAAGGCAACTCTCAATAATAGCAGCTAATGAGCAAGTTGCTTAAACTAGAGGACCTTGGTACCATTCCGGGATACTGATAAGAAATAACCAGTCACTTAAAAGGAATGTACTAATGATCCCACCTAACAAAATAACAAGCATCAGATAACAGGGATCTTAAGGACAGTGTGTTTCTGTGCTGAGGCACGTACACCCCATGAGGTGTTCACGTGAACCCAGTATGATTTCGACCGGGTGATCTAATGTCCGCACCATGATTGGACGAACATCGGTATAAGAGTTCCGATAACTTTGTACGGAGACAAGGGTACGGGAGATGGGGCCGTCCCGGGCTGCGGAGACAAGGGTACGGGAGATGGGGCCGTCCCGGGCTGCGGAGACAAGGGTACGGGAGATGGGGCCGTCCCGGGCTGCGGAGACAAGGGTACGGGAGATGGGGCCGTCCCGGGCTGCGGAGACAAGGGTACGGGAGATGGGGCCGTCCCGGGCTGCGGAGACAAGGGTACGGGAGATGGGGCCGTCCCGGGCTGCGGAGACAAGGGTACGGGAGATGGGGCCGTCTCGGGTCCCGGAGACAAGGGTACGGGAAATGGAAGACTGAGAGCTAGAAACACTAAGACTGAGGATATCAGATGGAAGATTGAAAGCTGTAAGCAAAAAAAAGCATGAAGAATCAAGCTTGTGTGCTGTAAAGACACAGTGTTGAACTCAAGATATCTACTGTGGTATTATTGTGTTATAAGGTCTGTTGATTGTACCGGCCTTTGGTCTGACCCATCGGGACATTGGGAATAACGAACGAATGATAATAAAACAGTCTGATATCTGGTTGCAAACGGATTATGGCTGATTTTATATTCTAACAGTAGGGCTCGAACCAGGCGAGTGCGGTCCCACTGAGGTAGATGACGGAGGAAAGGTGGTGGAGGAGGATGGCATGATCGACTGTGTCGAACGCAGAGGAGAAGTCCAGGAGGACAAGGAGGCAGAGGGAGTACAGATTCTTCTACAACTGCTCCATGGCCACACAGTGAGAAGTAAGGTAAAATAATAAGCCTTGTATTTCATTTTGAGTTTCTCATATCAAAAGGTTGCATACGTTCCACTATCACCTGGTGTACTCACAAAACACACTCCGATAACTCCTGCCTGTTATTGTACTCACATAACACACCGCAGCTAACTCCTGCCTGCTGTTGCTCTCTTCAAGCAATCCCACAGCTTTAGCAGGATTTACTCCATTGTCGTAGATTGTAAATTTTGTTCCCATTAAATTCGACCTAGTCAGGGGCAAAGACAGAATGGTAACAAACAAAGTTGCAATCTAAAGGTAATATACTGCAAGTATATTTCTTTCAATACATGATCTACAAACATATATTCCTAAACAATAGAGCCGCAAAGTCTAAGCCAACATTCCAAAGCAATGCTGAGATGTGTTGCATTGTTGGAGGTTCTGTAACTCGGATGAGATGTTAACCTAAGGTCCCATCTGCTTGTTAAGGTGGATGTTAAAGAACCCATAGCACTATTCGAAAAGAGAATGGAGTTTCTCCTGGTATCCTGGCCAACAATCCTCAAAATAAAATTGGTCGCTCCACGGCTGTTTGTGGGACTTTGCTGTGCGCAACTGCTGTGGAATGTGGAACACTGCTTTGGAATGTTTCACCAACAAAATACAAAATCAATCCACTTTACAGTATATATAACGACGTGATAAGGCGCTGTATCAAATGCAAGGATTATTATTATTGTTTTTCAATCAGACGATGATCACTTGGTATATAGCTGAGAAATTCCTAGCCACTTTGCAATGAAAAAATATGCAGATATACAGGTAGAACATTTTAATTGTGATAAACATTCTTAAAAAGGTCTTAGCTTAGCTATCTCCCTCAGCTCTGAAACAAGCCTGGCCAGTGACTCAAAGCATGTTTCTTGCCAAAAGATATCGTGGAGAAAGTTTTGTCCTGATGAAAGTGAGGGATGATTGCAGTGAGGAAAGGAATTTTCTTGTTTGCATCCTGTTTATATACTGTCTGAATCCATTTACGCTACTCCATCTAGCACTTTCAGGTACTACATGTTTAGATGCAGAGGAAATAACCTAATGGAGTGCATCATCGTGATATAATAATAATCCATGCATTTGATTTAGCACCTTATCACGTCACTGAGATAGAATATATTGTAGAGTGAATTGACTGTGTACTTTGTGGGTGAAATGCAGCAGCCAATTGCACATAGCAGTGTCCCACAAACAGTCGTGAATTGAGGGACTTTTTTTTGAAGGATTATTACTCCCGAAAAGCAATCTGCCAATTGACTAACAACTGGGTACCTATTTACCGAAGGAGCAATGTGAAAGGCGCTATACAAATGTAATCTTGTTGTTGTTGTAAGCAAACTTGCCTAAAGTTTCGTCCTGCCCGCAAATCGGACCCGAATCATCTCACTTGCAAGGCGAGTGCCACTACACTATGGGACTCCACATACTTCATATACTTCAAGTAGATCACACTGATATACTCCATTCGTCTATTTTTTCTGCATCTAACCATGTAGAGGAAATAAAGAAATCCTGCATATGATGTACTTTCCCCTTGGTGTCTTATCATCAGGCCTGGGTCAGGTAAAGCACTCTGAAATGCTGTCCGACGTGAAGGGCGCTATATAAATGCAAGTTGTTGTTGTAGGTTAGATATAGAGTAAAGCTCTTTCTTCCCTGCCAAAATGGGGTTTAAAATGCAGGGTTTCTGCTGTAATTCCCAAAGGAAAAACACATTTTAGATCCCGTCTTCTAATCAATAAAACTGAAGCTGCATGGGTTAAAGCTGCATCCCGTCTTCTAATCAACAAAACTGAAGCTGCATGGGTTAAATGGGTGCAAACTGAAATGCATCCACCACACCTGGATTTATGTACACTTCACAACAATTCACTTGTGCTTCACTGTTCCATCAAGGGGACTTACCTCAGTTTACCAATGAAGCTTATGGCTTCTCGGGACAAATCTGTGGCATCGATGGAGATCAAGTAATTAGACGTTTTGCTCTTTTTCCGTTTCCTTCCTGCTAATAAAAATACCTGAAAAATGAAACGGACTTCAATGCTCGTATCTCCTCTCTGTTCACAATCAATACACCCAGTCTAAGGTCTCACTCAGGGCTGCACCAACAACGGGGTCTCCTTGGAGCTGAACAGGCTCCAAAGTGACATGCTCCAATGGAATGTCGGAATCGAGCCAGCCCTCTTTGGCGGTCTTGGTAGTCCGGTTCCTGAGCCAAGCCGGCCAAAGCTATGCAGTTTTAGCTGGTCAGTCTCCAACTCACACTCTGGGGTCCCCAAGCCTTGGCTCTTGCCAACCTGTGCCTAATAGTCTGAAATGCTGAACTCTGTCCAGCGCCTTGGGACGTCCTCCCAACGTGAAAGGCGCAATACAAATGTAATCTTGTTGTTGTAATACTTTCCAGAATTAGGTAAGCAGAATGGGTATTCCAATTCAACAATGTTTCTCTGGGATTTCCATGTATAAGTGGGATGCATGGAAATCTCAGCTTGGTTTGGATACTCTTAAGCATGGTGATGGGTTTCCGCATGTGTCAGACACCCAGCTGACCAAAAAAAACTCAAGAACAGCACAATTCTTTATTCTTCTGGATCGAGAAGGAAACTGTCCCACTCAGATTCAAGAGGGAGCAAGAGCAATGAGTGCGAGCTGACAGCATGAACACTGAACACAAACTGACAGCAGGTGTACTGAAGTTGAGTCTGATCTTATGCCCAGGTTGTACATTTACAAGCAAGCATTCTGTCACCTTCTTTCCATCATCCCGCTCTAGATGCACATAGTAGGTTGGATACAGCCCACGGTCCATTCCTTTCTTGTCCCGGGTGATCCTGCATTTGATTGTGACTCCACGAGGCGCTGGTCTCAAGGTAAATTCCTCCAAGTTGTCCAACTCAATCGGGTTTAGGCCAGGACTAGGAGAAGGGAGGGAGACCGCTGATGTTTCCTGGGAATAGGAGGGAAGAATTTTTGACAACAAACAGCTCCGAAATGAGCAAGCAAATAGTGTACTGCTGTAGCAACTGAACCATGAGGCTGTTTGTTTCCAGGATGGCAGGTTTCAGTTATGAAGAAAACCTAAGCCTTTTTCACTTCAACTGAAGTTAAAGGATAACCTGACGGAGGTCTTCAGGATTGTGAAGAATTACAATAGTGCAAACAGTAATCTAGTGTTCGGTGTGTCAACAACAATATACACAAATTTAAGATCATCACAAAAGGCATTAAAGGGGAAGGAGGGAGGTCACGTGTATCTATACTAATTATATATCTGTTGGTCTGTCTTGTGTATCCGTCAATCATGCAATAACCGATTGACGTAGAGACATGATTTACATCTCATCAGAAAGGTCTGGCAGTGTCATGGTCATATTTGTTTTGGGGGGAATCTCCTATCGTTGATGAGCTATATTAAATATTAAGCCCCAAAATATGAGGTATGCATCATAGTCTGCAACTATGATAGAGCGACAGAGGAAAGCATACACCGTTCAGAGAGATACATCTATATTCTGCGACAAGTACATGGCACTTTTTTCTGGTTGTTATAGGAGCTAGAGTCCTCCCATGTGGGACATACAGTGAGAGAGGAGAGAGACTGAGATAGTGAGAGAGACAAAGAGAGAGAGGCTGTGAGAGAGAGAGACTGGGCGAGAGAGACTGAAAGGGAGAGAGAGACTATGAGAGAGAATATATTATAAAGTGTAGTGACTGTGTGTTTTGTGGGAGAGACACACAGAGAGAAAGACTGAGAGAGAGAGAGAAATAGAGGCTGAGAAAAAGAGACTGAGAAAGAAAGAGAGATTGGGAGAGAGACAGAGAGAGAGAGAGAGAGAGAGAGATACTGACAGAGAGACTGAGAGAAAAAATATATCAAAGGAATTTGAATCCTCCCACAGGACCGAGTATAGATAAAGCTGAAATGTCTGTCTGTGTGTCTGTCTGGGTGTCAATCTACATTCCATATTGGATCCTTTGGTTGCAAGCGAAGCTGCAACGGGTACAGCTAGTATATATATATATGTATATTTTAAAAAGGACTTAAAGAATCTTGAAAAAGAGTAATAGTAAAGAAATGTGTGGGATAAGATTCGGTGATTGATGTGGAGAAAAACAAAATAATCTCACTATAATAATAATAATCCTTGCATTTGATTTAGCGCTTTTCATGTCTTATCGACGTCTCAAAGCGCTTCACAGAATAGACTGTAAAGTGAATTGACTTTTGTGGTCGAAAGCCAGTCATCTTCTGTGAGTCAGCCAGTCAGCAGCACGAGAGCGAGGGGTGGAGCCTAGACCGAGCAGTGGGGATATAGCCACAGTGAGGAGAGCCGTGTCAGAGGATAATTTTTTTTTTAAAAAAAGCGAGAAACTTAAAAAGCGACGTCAGAGCGACGTCAGTATCAACAGTAAACTGACAACTTTCAACACATCACACACCACGGATTTAATTTGATCAACTTACCTTGATTGGTTTAAGTTAACTTGAGCAACTTAATTGGATCAACTTGATTGACTTAAAACTTAATTAACTTAACCTAATTAACTTAAGTTGATTGACTTACTCAGATTGGAAGAGGTGACAATGGCGTGGCAGGTGTTATGTGAGGAGTGTGACATGTGGGAGCTGATGGAGGGCAGTCTGACCCCGGGTGACCACATCTGTAGTAGATGTCTGCAACTGAGGCAGCTCCAGCTCAGAGTGGCTAAACTGGAATCCGAGGTGCAGACACTGCGGAGTATCAGAGACAGTGAGTGCTTCCTGGATAGCTACATCCTGGAGCCAGTCACTCCCCTGAGGGAATATACACTCAACATTGATTATGGTCAGGATAGGTCAATGGACAGTCAGGAGATCAGAGGGACAACGGAAAAAGTGGTAGTAAATCCGCCATTAACCTTGAACAACAGATATGAGATCCTTGGAACTTGTATCGACAAGGAAGCCGGTGAGGTGGAAGGAAAAACTACCTCTAACACTGGGGCAAAAGAGCGGATGGTTGTCGTCATTGGGGACGAGACTATTAGGCAGACAGACACAATAATCTGCAACACCAACCAGAAGACTTTGTTGCCTCCCTGGGGCCGGGGTGAAGGATGTCTCGGCAGGGCTAGACGACAATTTAAAATATGAGGTTAAGGATCCGTTGGTGGTACTTCACATAGGTACCAATGACATCGGTAGAGTAGGCCAAGATGACTTGAGAAGGGAATTTGAAGAGCTGGGGTCCAAATTGAAGTCGAGATCATCGAAGGTGGTAATATCGGGACTACTGCCTGTACCATACGACAATTGGAACAGGAACAAACAAATTAAGGACTTGAATGCATGGCTAAAAGAGTGGTACGGAACTCAGGGGTTTCTTTTTATGGGCCGTTGGCACGAATATTGGGGGAAAAGAAAGCTCTTTCGGAGAAAAGGGCTGCATTTAAATCGTGCTGGGACAAATGTTCTAGCTAAACGAATTAACAGGGAAATAAATAGGAATTTAAACTAGTAAAGGGGGGGGAATACATCGGTAAGAGAAACCATAAGTTAGCATTAGAAAAAGTAAAGATGACAGTGCAGAATAGCATGCCAGATAATAGGAATCTGTTAACTAGGGCTAAGAAGCTTGGCAAAATAGATAAGGAATCAGAGAGTAGAGGAAATGGTAGGAAATTAAAAATGTTATATCTGAATGCGCGAAGCATTCGGAATAAAACTGATGAACTAAAGGCACAGATAGACACATATGGATATGATCTAATAGCCATCACTGAAACATGGTTACAAGGAGATCTAGGGTGGGAGTTAAATATTTCAGGGTCCTCAGTTTACAGGAAAGATAGGCACTGTGGGAAAAGAGGTGGGGGGGTAGCCCTGTTAATTAGGGATAAAATAAAAGCAGTGGAGAGGAAGGATCTGAAATCCGATGACCAGGAGGTCGAGGCAATATGGGTGGAAATAAAAAATAATAAAGGGCAAAAAATATTAATGGGAGTGGTTTATAGATCCCCAAACAGCGATCACAATATAGCACAGGGTATCAATCAAGAAATCAGTGGAGCATGTAGGAAAGGTAAAGCGATAATAGTGGGTAATTTCAATCTTCACATAGATTGGGAAAACCAAACCGGCAAAAGTAAGTCAGAAGAAGAGTTCATTGAGTGCATGAGAGATAACTTTCTAGAGCAGCATGCTGAGGAACCAACTAGGGGACAGGCCATCCTAGACCTTGTTTTGTGTAACAAAACAGGGTATTAAGAATCCTCTGGGGCAGAGTGATCGCAATATGATTGAATTCTGCATTAAGTTAGAGAGGGATACAGTTAAATCTGAGGCAAGTATTCTGAATTTAAATAGGGCTAATTTTGTAGGTATGAGGAAAGATTTAGGTAAAATAGACTGGAGAATAAGATTAAGAGGTAAAAATGTAGACCAACAATGGCAAATATTTAAGGATGTAGTGCAAAATTCTCAGCGGTCGCATATTCCCTTGCAGAATAAGAGTATACCACAGGGAAAGCAATTCATCCGTGGCTAACTAGAGCAGTTAGGGAAAGAAAAGGCTTATAAAACTGCCAAGAAAAGCGGCAAATCTGAAGAATTGGTGTGAGGGAAACTGTTAGCACTAAAAATTGACAAATCCCCTGGTCCGAATGGCTTGCATCCCAGGGTTTTAAAAGAGGTAGCTTATGAGATAGTGGAGGCCTTACATCTGATCTTCCAAAATTCCTTGGATTCTGGAACAGTCTCCATGGATTGGAAGATCGCAAATGTCACACCACTATTTAAATAAGGTGGAAAGGAAAAGATGGGGAACTATAGGCCAGTTAGTCTCATATCAGCGATAGGAAAAGTTTTAGAATCGTTGATTAAGGATGTGGTAGTGCAGTATTTAGGGGAGCACAATATAATTAGGCCAAGTCAACATGGCTTTACAAAAGGGAAGTCATGTTTGACAAATCTCATAGAGTTTTTTGAGGACATTTCTAGTAAACTAGATAGAATCAGTGGGTGTGGTCTATTTGGACTTCCAGAAGGCATTCGATAAGGTGCCGCTTAAAAGGTTAGTCCAAAAGATAAGGGCCCATGGAATTGGGGGGAGCATATTAACGTGGATTGGGGAATGGTTAACAGGTAGGAAACAAAGTGTAGGGATAAATGGGTCCTTTTCGGATTTGCGGGATGTGACTAGTGGAGTGCCAGAAGGATCAGTCCTTGGGCCTCAGCTATTTACTATCTACATCAACGATCTAGATGAGGACATCAAAGTTAATATATCTAAATTCGCGGATGACACAAAACTAGGAGGAAGTGCCAACACAGAGGGCCACATTAAAAAAATGCAGAGAGACATAGATAGGTTAGGTGATTGGGCAGGTAAGTGGCAGATGAAGTATAATGTAGGGAAGTGCGAAGTCATTCACCTAGGTAGCAAAAACAGTAGAGCGGGTTATTTTTTAGAAGGGGAGAGATTAGAATGTAGACTTCCCTACTCATACTCTAATCCTTTCATAATGAATGATAACATACCGTTCGTATGGTCAAAGAGAAAGGTCTTGAGACCGGCCTTGAAGGAGGAAAGGGAGGAAGCAAGGCGGAGGCTCTGGGGGATGGAGTTCCAGAGCCTAGGGGCTGAGAGGCTGAATGTCCGGCCACCGATGTGGATGTGGAGCAGACCGGAGCCAGAGGAACGGAGGGTACGGGCAGGTAAGTAGGGGGATAGTAGGTCAGAGAGGTAGGAGGGAGCAAGGCCGTGAATGGCCTTGTAGGTGAGGATGAGGATCTTGAATTCGATCCTCTGGGGGATGGGAAGCCAGTGGAGACGAGCGAGGGTGGGAGTGATGTGGTCCCGAAGCCTGGTGCGGGACAGTACACGAGCTGCAGAGTTCTGAATGACCTGCAGCTTGTGGAGGGAGGTGCCGGGAAGGCCGGCGAGGAGAGAGTTCCCATAGTCCAGCCTTGAGGTGATAAAGGCATGGACCAGTGTTTCAGCAGTGTGAGGGGTGAGGTAGTGCCGTAGTCTGGCGATGTTTAGGAGGTGATGGAAGGCGGTACCAGTTGTGGTGCGGATATGAGGAAGAAAGGACAGCTCAGGGTCGAACAGAACCCCGAGGTTCCTGACCGGCTTTGAGAGGTGGAGAGTGCAGCCTTGGATGCTGATGCTGTCAGCGCCTGAGGTGCGGAGGCGCTGACGTGAGCCAATCAGGAGGGCCTCAGTTTTGCGCACATTGAGCTGAAGAAAGTTGTCTCTCGTCCAGGACTCAATGTCGGACAGGCAGCTGTCAGGACATCGGTGGTCGTGGAGTTGAGGGTAGAGGAGGAAAGGTAGAGTTGGGTGTCATCCGCATGCATGTGGAAGGTAACCCCATGTCTGCGGATGGTGTCACCAAGGGGGAGCATATAGAGGGTGAAGAGGAGGGGACTGAGGACACCACACGAGACAGTGCGGGGGCTGGAGGAAAAGCCGTTTGCAGAGACAAAATGAAGACGGTGGGAGAGGTAGGACCTAAACCACTCAAGGACAGGGCCTTGAAGGTTGAGGTGGGAGGACAAGCGGTGGAGGAGGATAGCGTGGTCGACCGTATCGAATGCAGCCGATAGGTCGAGGAGGACAAGGAGGCAGAGGGAGCCCTGGTCGCAAATGGTCAAGATGTCATTAGTGACCTTGACCAGGGCGGTTTCCGTGCTATGGGCAGCACAGAAACTACTATATCAAATGCAAGAATTATTACTATTATAAACATGTACAGATAGATATCAAGTCAGGCATCAGGAACCCAAGCTGACCTCTCTCCTCCTGAACCATCGGTGAAGAGTTCTCCTTCAATCAGAAGGTGTGGGTATCCAATCATTCCCTTACCCCAGGCACAAATTAAATTTTTCTAAAAGCTCCAATTTTGAATTAGGTGCAAAGGGTTCAGAATAGACGCAAGGTCTCAATCCAGCAAGTGGTGTCCTTGAGATAAGGGCTACACCACCGCCACTGCAGCTGGGGTGAGGGATGTGGTGGGAGGTGTAGCCGGGTGGTGTGGCCTCCGTGAGGGGGAAGGTGTCGCCTGGGGTGAGCCAGGTTTCCTTTAAGGCCATGACCCAGGCCTTGTTACAAAGGGAGCGGACGTTTTGTAGTCCGATGTGGAGGGAGCGGTTGACAGAAGGGTGTGTGGGGAGGGAGGGGCGTCCAGGTTGTGAGGCAGGGCTGGGGGATGGGGATGAGGGAGGAGAGGTTGGCTCTCTGAGTCTGTGTCCGGGGTGGCTGGCGAGTGTGGTGGGGAATGGGGCAGTCAGTATGGCTGCTGCTGGACAGCCAACACCGAGTGCCACGGTGAGCCCGGCGGAGGATTCCCAGGCTGGAACAGAGGGAGGTTGTGGGAGGGTCAAGTGGGGATAGAAGGCGAGGGGGACGGAGAGAGAGGACAGAGCGGGAGAGATGCAGAAGGGGGAGGGTTTTGGGGGAGAGAGAAGGGGGGAGGGAGGGAGAGGGTGAGGGAGCTTGGGTCAGAGCGGCAGCCATAATGCGCATGCAGGGACCGGGAGCGAGCGGTCAGGTGGATGACATGAGCCCATAGGCTGGGGCTGGGGCAGCTAACCCAACTGGACCATGGTGGTCCCTGATGCGAGCCCTGGGGGGGCGCAGAGGTTTTTTTTTGTTGCGCGCACACACTCCTGAAACTAATCTATGACGTCAGCGGTTCCCCCGCTCCGCCCTCTCCCCGCCCCCACACCCTAGTTGAACTCCTTGCTGCCTCGAGCTTTATACTACCTGAGAAGGTAGGCCCAGGCTCCTCCCCGCGCTGCCCTGCCACCGCTCCCCTTGTGGACCCAGGTGCCTCGCTTGCAAGGCGAGGTCTCTAACCACTGAGCTACAGGACTCCACTATTATCCCCGTCTAGTCTTGAAGGTCACTTGTAATCTGCTGTCTGACAGACTGCCTGTTGGACATCAAGTCCGGGATGAGGGCAAATGTCCTACAGTTGAATGTGAACAAGACTGAGGCCCTCCTGATTGTCTCACGCCAGTGCCTCAGCATTTCAGGCTCTGGCAACATCAACTTCCATGGTTGCACACAACAACTCACCAAGCCAGTCAGGAACCTTGGTGTCTTGTTCGACCCTCAACTGTCTTTTCTCCCCCACATTCAAGCCATGAGGAGCCATTGTGGAGTCCTGTAGCTCAGTGGTTAGAGCGCTCGCTTTGCAAGCAAGAGACCTGAGTTCAATTCCAGGCAGGGCGAAACCTTGGGCAAGTTTCCTTACTCCACACAGAACCTAATAATAATCCCTCCAAAACAAAACAATAATAAATCGGTCATTTTCAATCTACGACTGTTTGTGGGACATTGCTGTGCGCAATTGGCTGCCGCTTTCGCCCACAAATATACAGTCAATTCACTTTACAGTGTGTTCTGTGAAGCGCTTTGGGACGTCCTCCCGACGTGAAAAGCGCTATATCAAATGCAAGGATTATTATTATTATTATTATGACCTGCTCTGCCTTCCCTCACCTCCGTAACATCGCTCGACTCCGCCACTACCTCACCCCTCAGGCCACTGAAACTCTTGTTCATGCCTTCATCACCTCCAGGCTCGACTATGCAAACGTCCTGCTTGTCGGCCTTCCCAACTCCTCCCTCCACAGGCTGTAGATAATCCAGAACTCTCCAGCCCGTGTCCTCTCCCACACCAAACTTCATGACCCCATCTCCCCCACTCTCGCCCGACTCCATTGGCTCCTTAAGAGCCAATCCTTAAGAGGATCCAGTTCAAGATCCTGCTCCTCACCTACAAAGCCCTCCATGGCCTCGCCCCACCCTACCTCTACGACCTCCTAATCACCTACCAACCCGCCCGTTCCCTCCGCTCAGCCGGCTCTGGCCTGCTCCACGTCCCCCGAGCCATTCGCTCCACCATTGGCGGGAAAACCTTCAGCCACTCTGCCTCCAACCTCTGGAATTCCATGCCCCAGTCACTGCTCCTCGCCCCCTCCTTAACCTCCTTCAAGTCCCACCTCAAGACCCTCCTCTTCGACCAGGCCATCGGCCACCCCCTTCCCCTCCCCACCCGACCCCAGCTCAGGTCTGAAATGCTGTACTCTGTCCAGCGCCTTGGGACGTCCTCCCGACGTGAAAGGCTCTATACAAATATAATCTTGTTGTTGTAATATGGGATTTATACAATACAGTATTCCCTGAGAAAGCCTTTCAACTTATGTTTAAAAGAAGGAATTGCACAGAAAATAATTTCAAGTGGAGAACAGAATTAATCACAAAGAAAGCTTTTGGTATGAAGTGTGAAGCTTGTGAACGGAAAAAAGGACACACCACGGTTACCAAGATATCCAAATAGAGCACAAAATAGGGTTTCAATGAATAGACATATCTGAAAATCATCAAAACAATATCAATGTAAAACCTTGGAGTTTGACAAACCCAGTCGCACTGTCACTCTCCATAAAAGCATAGCAACTGCAGGTTCCCAAAAGGAATTCACCTTGTCAGATTTCTTGCTGGTTGCAGATGAGGGCCTGATGCTTTCTTCAGTCTGTGAGCCTGAGGTATTTTCAGCCTCTTCGTCTTCATCCTCATCAAAGTTCATGCTGCCAGAGATTCCTGGTATTTACAACGTAATGTTTAATCCCACTGTTCAATCGATGTAGCTATTCTCATCAACAACAACAACAAAATTACATTTTATATAGCTCCTTTCACGTCGGGAGGACATCCCAAGGCGCAAACAATTCAATCCTTTTCTAATGATCATGCTTCTGAAAAATGGCCCTTTCTCACTCTATGCATTCTTAGTTTGGTCTGTGTATTTTCCTACCTCTTTGCTGCATCACTTCCTGGATATCTGGCTTGGATGCCGAGTCCAGGAGAGCCTTGGCATCATCACAGTCAACGCCAGGTTGTCTAACCGAAAGCATCTGAACTTTGCTGCCAATGTCCTGCATCTCACTGATTGTGAAGGCAGCTGGGCCATCAATACCTGTACAAACAAAAGCAACCTTGGTCAGTGGAGATTTCTTGTGTTGAAGTACTTCTTGTACTTGCCTGACCACATGCTCTCCTTTTATGTTATTTGGTCACACTGGGAGCTTTCATGTCTCTTCTAAAAGACAGTACATTACAGAGTAAGTGCTCTAACACTCAAACAGTTGGTAGTCCCTGAATGTCCTATAGACAGAACACTCAGTACTCTGATCTCCGCCAAGTCAAGTTAAATCCCACATTCATTTTCAGAATTAAAAGTGATGTTTCTAAGAAGGAAGCAGAGAATTCATATGTAGAATGAACACAGTCCTGTTTCCGCTACAACCCACAAATCCCATTCTCCACTGGTCAACAAAACTGCCAGGTTTAACACACAATCTTAATAATAATTAGGGCATTTGACATAGTCTTTAAGGATAAACTGTTGAAAGTACATCACAGGGAAATGCTGTTGAGTCCAGTTGACTATATTTTTAGACAAATATGGAGTCAAGTTGTGCATAGAAAGGTTTTATAAACAACCTTGAGATGAATAACCAATTTACTTAAGAGGACTGTTGATCCAGATAACTCTTGTCTCCTGTTATTCAAGTGACTGGGTGTCACAGGCGTGGTGACAGAGCATGAAATAAAGTGTGTTTAAAGAAATATTGAAAAAATAGTCCATCTTATTTATGACGTGTGACTTTGTTTGTGATTTGATAGGTGGTGCAGCAATGGGAGAAATGTCCCGTCCACAACGGTTCAAAACTTTTTGAAATCAGAAGTTACTGCACTAAATGCTAACCTGGCTCTCCTTTGTCCCTCTTTTTGCTTCTCTCCAACTGACAACCTTCCTGAAGCCTTTTCAGTATACGGGCTCCTGAATCCTCATTCGGGAGCTCATTCTCCTCATCCCTATCTTTATCTTCTCCTGCTAATTGACATTTCAAAAGAAGAGAAGGCTAAAAACATGCAAATACTGAGCAACTGCCAAGGTGAGTAAATATATATTTGCATGGGTCCAACCTTTAACAACAACAACAACAACAAGATTCCATTTATAAAGCGCCTTTCACGTCAGGAGGACGTCCCAAGGCGCTGCACAGTTGGGTCATGACCCGAGCAGGGGGGAAATGGTCAGGGTGAGGGGAGGGAAGGGAGGGAGCGAGGAGGGGGGGGGGGAAATGGTCAGGGTAGGGGAGGGAAGGGAGGGTGCGAGGAGGGGGAAGAGAGTCGAGAGGGGAGCTGAAGGCTCGGTCAAAGAGAAAGGTTTTGAGACCGGCCTTGAAGGAGGAAAGGGAGGAAGCAAGGCGAAGGCACTGGGGGATGGAGTTCCAGAGCCTGGGGGCTGAGAGGCTGAAGGCCCGACCACCGATGGTAGGGCGGTTGGGGCGGGGGACGTGGAGCAGACCGGAGCCAGAGGAACGGAGGGTACGGGCAGGTAGGTAGGGGATAGTAGGTCGGAGAGGTAGGAGGGAGCAAGGCCGTGAATGGCCTTGTAGGTGAGGATGAGGATCTTGAAATCAATCCTCTTGGGGGATGGGGAGCCAGTGGAGGCGAGCGAGGGTAGGAGTGATGTGGTCCCGAAGCCTGGTGCGGGACAGTACACGAGCTGCAGAGTTCTGAATGACCTGCAGCTTGTGGAGGGAGGTGGCGGGAAGGCCGGCGAGGAGAGAGTTCCCATAGTCCAGCCTTGAGGTGACAAAGGCGTGGACCAGAGTTTCAGCAGCGTGAGGGGTGAGGTAGTGCCGTAGTCTGGCGATGTTCCGGAGGTGATGGAAGGCGGTGCCAGTTGTGGTGCGGATGTGAGGGAGAAAGGACAGCTCAGGGTCGAACAAAACGCCGAGGTTCCTGACTGGCTTTGCGAGGTGGAGAGTGCAGCCTTGGATTCTTTATACTGCAGCTTTGCCCCACACATCTCGTACAGAAGCAACTGCTGCCCTCATGCTGTTCGACTCACAGTCACACACAGACATTGTCCGAAACAAGGACAGCTGGTGCTTTTACCTCACTGCCTTTCTCTCACACATATGCCGTCCATGTAGAGGGTCCATGTATATCATATAGCACTGTCACACATGTGGAGTGTTGCAATACCCGGAGTTGCCAATGAGGCAAGGCCCCCAATCCCACAAGGTACAGCTGGCAATAGAGAGCGTCAGAGCAAGGCTTCAACCTAAATAGCACAGGAGACATTACAGAAATTGATATACTGTGCCACCCAGTTCTCCAGAAACAAAAGATTTTAAACTTTATATCACAAAGTTAAGAATCTTTTTACAATCCTGATTTTTGGCGAGGAGCAGATTTGGGGCCCTGGATTTGCTCATGCTAATTTTTCCCCTGTTGCATCATTTTCATAGGTCACATGAGGGCACCCCAAAGGTGGCCAAAAGATGCAATATAGGGCACCCTTTACAATATCTTGCACAAAGTGAAGACAAAAAACAACAATGAGTGCGATGGAAAGCCAACGCCATTCTGAGTGAGAGGAACAATAATAATAATAATCCTTGTATTTGATATAGCGCTTTTTACGTCGGGAGGACATCCCAAAGCGCTTCACAGAACACATTGTAAAGTGAATTGACTGTATATTTGTGGGCGAACGCGGCAGCCAATTGTGCACAGCAATGTCCCACAAACAGTCGTAGATTGAAAATGACCAATTTATTATTGTTTTTTGTTTTTGGAGGGATTATTATTAGGCTCTGTGTGGAGTAAGGAAACTTGCCCAAGGTTTCGCCCTGCCTGGAATTGAACTCAGGTCTCTCACTTGCAAAGCGAGTGCTCTAACCACTGAGCTACAGGACTCCACACATTTGATATCTTCTGTATATCACCAAGAGAAGTTGGTCCAGCTTTCGATTGTGAAGCTTGGCCGTCAACGTTTGCCAAGTTGCAAAGAGGATGGAGCAGCAGGGCAGACGGGGGGAGGATTGGGTCCAGATAAGACATAAATTTTGCTTTTGGTCACAATGCATTTAAAATCTCAATAGCCAGCACATTATTGCACAGAATACATGACAGATGAAGTTCCAGGCAACGTTCCCCATTACAATCATCACAACACAGAATTCTACCTGGAATTTTAGCCCCCTGGCTTCAAGTTTATCACAAGGCTTGTGGTGTCCATTTTATAATCTGGAAATTGTTGGACCCTCTCCACGTCCCCAAATAACAGGAAAGTGAAATCATACCTCGGTACAATCCTGACCTCTCACTTGTTCTGCTCACAAGCATTTTCTAGCAAAGGGCTCTGAGAATCAATTTTTCTCCTCCCTGAGCGAGGGACTGAGGCCATGGGTAGCCCTGACATTTGACTGGCTAACATCCAGTATCTCTGCACTACCTCAAGGTCAAATTGAGACCCTTCCTGTCTTTATTGCTCAGTTTCACATTCGGCTAGTTGTGGCAGCACCAATTAAGTCAGAGCAGGGAGAAGCTGCAACACTGGAATATAAACAGAGCTGCTTTTACACTGTTGCAGTGGTGATGAATGCGAGTCTGAATAACTCAACATACATTTAAATGGAGATCACTTTCTACACTATCACTCCGTGATTACTGTTAGAGCTAACCTGACTGGCCTTCCTTCCTTTCCTTCATTCTTGCCAATTCATAAGCATCTTGCATGTTTTTCAACAGGAGGAGTCTTAAGGTTTCCTCAGAGAACTCGGTCTCCCCAGTCTTCTTTAAACTCTCTTCCTCTGCTATAGAAAGGAAACACAGAGCAGTAAGAACGCCTCCATCTGTCACGCAGGAAATAACACGCCAGGAAGGTCATTCAGTTTGACTAGGACCAAACAGTTCTGGGTTCCAACTAGTGAGTCCACTCAACTCTTTCAAGGTTGATGGAGTCTAATTTGCTGCACCCGTTGAGTTCTTTATGAATTTCTGTTTTACAACATTCATTGCCCGTAGATTCCAATTCCAATTCAGGTAAATCCAGAAAAAAGCCAGCAAATAAAGTGCTTGCAAAAGTACTCTGATTGGAATCAATTAGTGACTGTGTTGGAATCATCGTGCACTGCAATGACTTGAGTGAGTGGGGTCCCCCTGGAGCTGAACTGCCTCTGAGGAGATAGGATGGTGAAGCCAAGCAGATCCAACATAGACTTGTCTTCAACCCTATAAGCCAAAGCCCTAAAAGGGAAAGCTATTCTGGGTGGATCACGCTGAGTCTTATACTACGGCCAGCAACACAATTTATTTCCTGATCTTCATCAGTGATATCAATACTCTTCATATGAATGTTTGTCAAATGATGTCATTTTTGAGCTACAACACATCCAACCAATTCTGGAAGAAATTTTAAATTCAACCGATTTTGTCAGCAGCACCATGTGAGCGTGTGAAAGGGCCCTATTTAATACAACAATGTGCCTTGAAGAGTGTCATGTGGAAGTGCACTGGTTGGAATCAAGTATTGACTATTTTGGAATCAGGAGTCTAGAACTGCACTTTGGAACTGTATTGAAGGGCACTCCAAGAAATCCATTGGTTGGCATCGCAATCGTGACAAACTTGGGCAACACTATAACGTTCAGGGCAGATGCCTAAAGCAATGCTTTTCTTGAAGCTGTCAAAAAACCCACCCTCGATCCTTCTAATCTCTCACACTACCATCCCATCTCCAAACTACCCTTCCTTGCCAAATCCGCATTGTTGCAGGTCAACTTCGGTCACACTTCTCCCTCCACTCCCTCCTTGAGCCCCTGCAGTCTGGTTTTCGCACTGCCCACAGGAGACAGCGCTTGTCAAAGTCACAAACGACATTCTCTCTATCGGCGACAATGGCTCCCTCGTCCTCCTGGATCTCTGCTGTGTTCGACACAGTCGACCACGCCATCCTCCTCCACCGCCTCTCCTCCTTCATCCACCTCACTCGCATGGTTCGATTCCAACTTAACGAACCATTTCCATTTCATCTCGGCAAATGGTTTCTCCTCCCTCTCCCGTCCAGTCACCTGCAGGATACCCCAGGGCTTCATTTTTGGCCCTCTTCTTTTTCTTATCTATATGCTCCCTCTGGGCGATGTCATCCGCAGACACGGGGTAAACTTCCACATGTATGCGGGTGACACATAAATCTACTCTGTCTTCTCCAGTACCAACTCCAGGTCCACCGATGTTCTATCTTGTCTGGCAGACATCAGGGCCTGATGAGTACGAACTTCCTGCAGCTGAATGTGGACAAGACGGAAACCATACTCCTGGGCTCCTGTCGATGTCTTCACACCTGCAGATCTAAACGCCTCAACCTCCCTGGGCTCTCCCTCAGACTCACCGAACCAGTTGGCAATCTAAGAGTCTGATTCGACCCCCACCTGTACTTCCTCCCCCACATCCGGTCCCTGACTAGGACTGCCTTCTTTCACCTCCGCCACATTGCCCAACGCCGATGGTACCTTACTCCAAATGCAGCTGAAACCCTCATGCATGGTTTGTCACCTCCCATTTAGATTACTCAAACAAACTCCTCACCGGTCTCCTCAGCTCCACTATTCAAAAGGTCCAGTTCATTCAGAACTCTGCTGCCCGCATACCTACCCAGACCAATCTCCGTACCCACATCTCCAGGGTCCTGGCCAGGCTCCACTGGCTCACCATTAGCGAACGGATCGACTTCAAGATCCTCACACTTGTGTTCAAATCCCTTCATTCTCTGGCACCTCCTTCCCTCTCCGACCTCCTCACTCAGCAATCCACCACCCAGCGCCTCCGCTCGACTGGCACCGGCCTCCTGCTCGTCCCTCACACCCTCTGCCCCACCATCGGAGGTTGTGCTTTCAGTCACTACACCCCAAAACTCTGCAACACTCTCCCTCTCTCCCCTTTTTCAAGTCCCCCCTGAAAACTTTCCTCTTCAACCGTGCTTACGGCTACCTCCCCCCAACCACCCGGCTCGGAGTCAGGCTCCGCCACAGTTAAGCGCTCTGAGACACTACCCTGCGTGGATGGCACTATCTAAGGGCAAGTTGTAGTTGTTCTGCTCATACGAGCGTCTGACGTACAGACAATCCAGAGACCTTGCCCCAATATTGTCCTTTGTAAATAAAACCACCTCCCATCAACTGAGCTCCCTTCATTTTTGATATCGAAAAATCCAATTCTAGATATTTTATTGCTGTGGGTGGCTCTAAGGGAAATGCCACCATTTTGCAAATCAACATGAACTGTAATGTTCAGGGCAGATGCCTAAAGCAATGCATCCACCTTTCTTAAAAAAATAACAAACACCACACATCCAGACTCGCTGGTACAGTTGATGTGGAATGACACTGAACAACAACAACAACAAGATAATAATAATAATAATAATCCTTGCATTTGATATAGCGCTTTTCACGTCGGGAGGACGTCCCAAAGCGCTTCACAGAACACACTGTAAAGTGAATTGACTGTATATTTGTGGGCGAACGCGGCAGCCAATTGCGCACAGCAATGTCCCACAAACAGTCGTAGATTGAAAATGACCAATTTAATTATTGTTTTTAGTTTTGGAGGGATTATTATTAGGCGTGTGGAGTAAGGAAACTTGCCCAAGGTTTCTCCCTGCCTGGAATTGAACTCAGGTCTCTCACTTGCAAAGCGAGTGCTCTAACCACTGAGCTACAGGACTCCCAAGATTTCATTTATAGAGCGCCTTTCACGTCAGGAGGACGTCCCAAGGCGCTGAAGAGCCTGTAATGCATTCTGCATTCACTTCTCCTCCTTTCCTTGGTTATGCCTGGCAAAATACATTTTATTTTGGTCAGCTGGGTGTCTAACACATGCGGAAACCTATCACCAAGCTTATGACTATCCAAACCAAGCTGACATTTCCATGCCTCCCACCTGCACATGGAAATCCCAGAGACAGATTGTTGGAATGGATTGCGCACTCTACTGTAACCCGCCTGGCTCAGGAACTGGACTACCGAAACCGCCACAGAGGGTTGACTCAACTCCGATACTCCATTGCCAGGCACGTCACCTTGGAGCCATTACACTCCAAGGAAACCCTGTTTACACCCCCTCACCACCTGATAGTCGTTAGTTCAACATCTGACAAGCGCAGGTTTGAGCCCTCACTACAACAACAAATTACATTTGTATAGCGCCTTTCACATCAGGAGGATATCTCAAGGCACTGGGTGGATGGTAGATACAAAAAACTCCTGTCGAGCTTACCAGTGGCAACGCATCTCAGCATAAAATGCATGAGAGTTTTGCCACGGTCTTCCTGTCCACAGCTCGGGTACACGTCCCTTCCCATTGAGTGATGGTTCCACCAATTGGAGGTGTAAATCTTAAGCAGCAGCCACTTGGCTCTCTGCAGGCCAATCAAGGTGGACTCCAGGCGCTGGACGTACGAACGCTTGTTCTCAAACTCGGACTCCAGGTAACGCCTTCCAGCAGCTTTCGCCCAAAGCCTGTTTCCTCATCAGCTGTCTGGCAGGCAGCTCCAAAAGATGTGTGAGACAAACAAGTGTGAAAACACTTCTCTCCATGAGAAAACAAGTGTCCTCTCACTGCTCATTTTGTCCTCACTAATACCAGCTTAGAACTGGGCTGCAATACCTATCGCTGTACCACCTAACTGCAAATGCTGTATAACTTCTTTAACAAGTTAAATTGTTAAACAAGCGGCTTTTACAACTTCAGCTGACCAGTTCACCAGTTTTATTCACTCCAGTTCCTGAGAGGAAAGAGGGGATTTCCATTTCCATAGGACTGGCCTGCTGTGATTTTAAAGCTAACCTGACTGTCCTTTGTTTCTGTCACTGTTCCTTGCCAGCTGGTGAGCCGTCTGCACATTTTTCAGTTTATGAATCCTTAAAGGTTCCTCGGGCACTTTGTTCTCAGTCTTCCTTCTATCATCTCCTGCTAATGTCGATTAACAAAGGAAAAGGAGGCTGAAAATAAACATTCAAGCCAGGAATACATAACATAATCTTTTAGCAGCTTCTCTCACCTCCCTCTGAATAGACATAAGGTTCGACCCAAAGTCGAATCAATCTGTACCCAATTGAGACTGCTCTCTCTGTAAGAACATCTCAGTTAATTACTCCATCTCAAGTATGATCAGTGAAATTGTGGAGATTAACCTCAGCATTAAATGATGTTAACTGGGAACATGAAGTACAATATTATGGATTATAAGATTTGAAATGTCATGCTCCAACAGAAGTGTCCAATTGATTTTGCATTTCTTGTATTTTTCTGGTTGGGAATTCACAAAGATGTATGCAGTTGCTTGAGAATGAAAGACTGATTGTGATTTGGAAGCTCTCTACAGTGAAGCACTGTATTGCCAGAACCGGTACAATTACACCATCAGACTCTGCAATGTCTTGGCTTCTGCCACTCTTCCTGGAGACCAGTTCAAGCCTGTTCTTCTGTGTAAGGAAATACTTCCTGTTGTATCTTATAAACATGACAGTCCTAACTCAAAGCCAATGTCCTCTTGCCTTATCTGAAAATATTAAAGATTATTAAAGGCTTAAAGATTAGAATAAGCCTTTCATTTGATATTGCACCTTAACATGTTAAAGCAACTTCACAGAGTTTTCTGTAATGTGCAGTAACTGTTTAATTGTTGACAAACTTGGCAGAAAACTTGTGCAAAGCAATGTTCCACAAACAGCCACATGGCTTCCAATTTTTTTAATCTAGGGGATTCTTGGCCAGGATACCGGGAATGCCTTTCTTTATTTCTATGATGTTATGGTTTCTTTAGCATCCACTTAAACGGGCAGACAAGCCTCAGTTTAACATCACACCTGAAGGACAGTATCTCAGAAATGGAGCATTCCCGTTGCAGTGCACCAGTGTCATCCTGGATGATAAGGTCAAAAGCTACAAATTCTCTGTCCCATTGAACATCTTAAATACCTCTAAAACATTCCCTCAACCATTTATTTTGAGGCAGAACATACCTATCTGTGATCTTCCCTTATAGCTAAGCCCTTCAACACTGGATATCAACCTTGTTCCTCACTTCTACATTGGCTGTAGACAGTCCCCTTATGTCATGGTAGCTAAAACTGCAAACAGGACTTCAGATGTGGCCTGACCAGCACAATTCTGGAGGTATGAATTCTGATTTGGCAACTTAATCTGGAAACCTCTTTACCTTGTTCCCTGCTGAGGTTCCAACTGAGTGAGCAATGAAACACCTCACACCCTGAGGTCTGTCACTTCATCATTTCTCACCAAATTCTATCCTGCCGGTTATTGCATATGCCAATCTAAATCTCAACCAAGAGTTTCACGGTATGCATATTCCACTCCTTCCCACCATTGCTAAATCACAACAACAAAATTACATTTGTATGGCACCTTTCACGTCTGGAGGACATCCCAAGACACTGGACAATCAGTGTTTCGGATCCGAGCTGGGGGTCGGGGTCAGGGAGGGTGGAGGATAGTGGGGGGAAGGAGAGTGATCGAAGGCACGGTTGAAGAGGAGAAAGGTCTTGAAGGAGGCAAGGGAATGGGCGAGGCAGAGGGATTGCGGGATGGAGTTCCAGAGATGGGGGGGACAGAGTGGCTGAAGGACCGCCCGCCAATGGTGGGGCAGGCGAAGCAGGGGACATAGAACCCGCTATGCGGAGGGAGCAGGCAGGTTTGTAGGGGTTTAGGAAGTCGCAGAGGTAGGGGGGAGCAAGGCCATTGAGGGCTTTGAAGGTGAGGACCAAGATCTTGAACTGTATCTGTACGATGGGAAGCCAGTGGAGTCAGGCGAGGATGGAGGTGATAGGGTGACGGAGCCTGGTGCAGGAGAGGGCATGGATTGCAGAGTTCTAGATGATCTGCAGCCTATGGATGTAGGAGTTGAGGAGGCCAGCAAGCTGGGTGTTTGCGTAGTCGAGCCAGGATGTTATGAATGGGTGTATGAGGGTCTTGGCAGTCTGCGGTGTGAAACAATGGCAGAGCTGGGTAATGTTGCGGAGGTGGGGGAAAGCAGAGCGAGTCATGGCACGGATGTGGGGTGAGAAAGGGTAGTTGAGGGCCAAACAAGATGCCAAAGTTCCGGACTGGCTCAGTAAGGTGGAGTGTACATCCTTGGATGGTGATGTTGTCAGTGCCTGAGGTGTGGAGGCGCGGAAGGGAGCCAATCAGGAGGGCCTCGGTCTTGTTGACATTCAACTTTAGAAAGTTAGCTCTCAACCTGTACTTGATGTCTGACAGACATTCTGTCAGGACAGCAGTGATCCTGGAGTCGAGGGTGGAAGCAGAGAGATAAAGTTGGGTGTCATCCGCATGGGGAAGTTGACCCCATGTTAGCGGATGAAATGCGAGCATATCGATATTCAAGAGGAGGGGATCAAGGACAGAGCCCTGAGGAACACCACACGAGACGGTGCGGGGGCTATAGGAGAAACCATTTGTTGAGATGAAGTGGAGACGGTGTGAGAGGTAGGATTTGAACCATTCAATGACAGAACCATGAAGCTTGAGGTGAGAGAGGTGGTCGAGGAGGATAGAGTAGTCAACGGTATCAAAGGCAGCAGAAAGTTCAAGGAGGACGGGTTATTTGCCACTTTGACTAAAGCTTTTTCTGTGGATCAGAAACTCAATTGGAGTGGTTTGTGAAGGGATTGGTGGGAGAGGAAGGAACGAAGCTGGAAAGTAACGATTCGTTCCAGGACCTTGGAAAGGGAGGTTAGAGATGTGGTGGGATGGGGCCAGGGTGGGCTTTTTAAGGACAGGAGTGATGACGGACGTTTTTAAAGGGGTCGAACGGTGCCAGTGGACAGGGAGAGGTTTATAATGTCTAGGTGTTACTCTTAACTAGGTTAACCCACTGTATATAACTTTACCACCACTGGGCAGACGGGGCCTCGGGTTACATGCTGTAACCCACACTTTAAAAGTGCTGTACCCCACTGCATGTTACATTACTGTGCTATAGCTCACCATGTTACTTCAACCTTAACAATGCAGCGCTTCCCAGAACTACAATGGAGTGTCAGCGTGGACTCGTGAGGTGATGTGAACTTGGTATGCAGTGTTCACACGAGTGAGCAAGAATGTTTAAGGAGCTCTGGAGTGGGCGCACTCAGGCCTTTGGCTGCTCAGCCCTCAGAAGAGAGGTTACATACCATCGAGTATTATATTGCTGGTGATGCTGCTGCGTGATTCAACCAACGGGGCCTGCTCCTCACATCGCTTGGGCTTCAACCTCCGGGGTTTGGCTTCATGTGTGGGCTGGACCATGAGCAGCTCCTGACGTTTCCTCCTCTGCTTCTGTTCCAGCAGAGCCCGCTGAAAAAAAGGACAGCAATGGTTAGCTTTGTAAATGTTTAGTGAACCCCTGCAGCACCTAAAACTAAAACCACCCCTCCTGATATGATCTGTGACACCTTCTACAGTTTCATAGACTGCCAACACTTACTGCCAAGGCACACACATGAACAAATGCCACTGGAGTCAGATTCTGGAGGGTAACTAGAGCCGTTGGAAGCGGATCCTCGAATGAGGAACAGAGACCAGGAGCAGAGAAGCACATAGGGAAAAAAAAGAAAAAATAGTTTTACACAGAAGGTGGTTGGAAAGTGGAATTCTCTGCTACAAAACCATAATTAAAGCAGAGCTTTCCTTTCTTTTGAAAGGAAATGAGATGCTGTTGAGAAGGAATATCAAAAGGTATGTGGAACAAGCAGGAGAGTGGGACAACTTCAGAGCTTTTCTTTAATAAGTAGTTTGTGCTACCTTTTCAGTCCATTTGGTGGCAGAAGAACAAGGTCCAGCTCGTGCCGGGGTACGTCTTAAGGTTATCAGCCTGGAGATTGCTGTCTGACTGTGATTTGCTCCTGACTCGGACTATCAATCGAGCAAATCCTGATTTAATTGTAATATTATTTCGCAAACTAAAGTTTTTTGTTTTTCTCACCACCAGTGTTTTTCCGCTCATCCTCCAGAAAGATTGATTCCTATCTTCTTTCTATTAGGGTTTAGTTCCATAAGTGCTCTCCAGTACCTCACCAAATAATCATTAGCAAATCTGAGAGCCCAGACAGCAATAGCCATAAAATATTGAGTATTACATAACAGATGTAAGCTATTTGGTGCATCAAGTGTGGTTCAGCCACTCTGTCCCCTTCGCCTCTGGAACTCCATCCCACAGTCCCTCCGTCTCACCCCCCCCTCTTGCCTCCATCTCAAGACCCTCCTGTTCAACCATGTCTTCGATCACTCTACTTGCCCCCTCCCTCCACCCTCCCCAATCCCAATCCCCAGTTCGGGTCCAAAACACTGACTGTCCAGCGCCTTGGGTCCTCCCGATGTGAAAAGGGCTATACAATCTAATCCCATTCTCCTGCTCAATTCTCACATGTGAGGCTTCTTCCTGTTACTCTCAGCTCACACAAGACAGCTCTTTCACAGTTATTCAAATTGTTCCATACCATATAGAAAAGTCATCTTGTAAGCATGGCAAACCACAGCCGACGTTAAGAATGAATAACAGGACAAAAGTTCACCAAAGTTCAAAGTGCAATCAGAACAATCTTATTCAAAATTTGTTGATCTTTGCTGCACCACCAATCAAAGGACAACCCTTGGAAGAACAAGAACTTGGATTATGCCGATAATGTTAAGTCAATAACATTGAAATGTCTCAAAGTGCTTTACAGTAATTACTGTCAAATATGTTCACTTGTATAGTGTCTTTTACGTCGGGAGGACGTCCCATGGCGCTGGACAGAGTACAGCATTTCAGACCCGAGCTGGGGTCGGCGGGGGTGAAGGGAGGGAAGGGGAAGGGAGGTGGCCTATGGCATAGTCGAAGAGGAGAGTCTTGAGATGGGACTTGAAGGAGGCTAAGGAGGGGGCGAGGCGGAGTGACTGTGGGATGGAATTCCAGAGGTTGGAAACATATGGATATATGTTTATATAAACATATAAACATATATCATATAAACCATAAACATGACTCCCGTCAACATCTTCTGTCCTGCGGCTCTGATCTCCTCAAACTCCCCGGCCTATCCATCAGACTCACTGAACTGGTGTGCAAAGTCAGGTTCAACCCACAGCTGCCCTTCCTTCCCCACATTCAGTCCGACCAATACCACCTTCCTCCACCTCCGCCACATTGCCGGCTTCCAACTGTACCTACCCCACATGCAGCCGAAACACTCGTCCATGCATTCACCACCTCCTGACTCGACTTTTCAAATGCCCTCCTTGCCGGTCTTCCCAGCTCCACCATCCACAAGATCTAGCTGATTCAAAACTCCGCTGCCCACATACTCAGCCATACTAAACTCGGTACCCCCACCACACCAGTTCTAGCCAGCTTCCACTGGTTCCCTATCGCCAAAAGGATCAATTTAAAGATCCTCACACTCGTTTTTAAATCGCTTCATGCCCTGGCACCTCCCTAACTCTCTGACCTACTTACTCCCCAACCCACTACCTCCGCTCAACTGGCTCTGGCCTCCTGCATGACCCTCGTGCCCTCCGTTCCACCATCGGTGGCCCCACTTTCAGTCACTACTCTCCGAAACACTCTTCCTCTAATCCTCCACCTTGCCCCTTCCTTTCCCATCTTCAGATTGTGCCTGAAGACCTTCCTCTTCGACCATGCCTACGGTCAACTCCCCTCTCCCCAGGCTCAGTGTCATGCTCCGCCACTGTCAAGCATTCTGGGACATTACCCTGCATAAGTGCCGCTTGATAAATGCAAGTTGTTGTTATAACTAATTTGTCCAAGACACTGAAAGAAAGATTCTTTTCTCTTTTGCAATCGTGCCATGGGATCTTTAACATCCTCCTGAGCTGAAACATAGTTGAATGTCTTCTCTGAAAGTTGGCATCTACAACATTCAGTGCTCCCCAGTACTCAAGTCCTTTGGGATGGAATCCACAACCTTCGCTCAAGGTATGAATGTTCACAACAGAGCCACACTGGCACATTTCATTCTCCAGAAGGGGTTGGCGCTACTGTAGGAGCCAGTCCCACTGAACCCAGATCAACTCTATGGTGTCACAAAACTTGGCTGAACAGATTGTACCTTTATGTTCAAATTCCTCAGATTTTAAAGGTAAAGATGGAACTGGGCAGTCTTCTCTCAATATTTGGACATGTGCAAACTGATCTACCTGAGCATCATCAGCTTCTAGTTATGTGGCACTGAGCTGCCATCTTCAACATATTTTGACACAAGCAAATACTCTTGGTCAATGACCGAATTGACCATTGATCTCAATAGCAGAAGCCAAATTCCTCACTGAAAAGGACATTGGTCTTCACAGCTACCACAAATTCAGCCTTGGGTGGGAGACCAATAACATCAACAGGGTTCTTGTTGGAATGGCTTGACTCCCCGGTAGAATTCCTGGAATTCAATTTCTCAGAGTCCATCTGAGACCCCAGCTAGAGTTGAACCAGCAGCAGTTCCCAATATGAGGTTGTGTTTCTGTTCTAAATTCTGAACCAATTTGATCGCTTCACTGGCTTACCTCATTTTTAATTGATGTTAGGATAATTGTGCCTTCGGGGCTGGGAATATCTTTTCAATGAGCGAGGCTGGTTCCTCATTCTACTTTATGGCTTAAAGGTGTTCAGAAAAAGAAGTCTCAAAGCATTAGCTTATTTAGAGGATTAGGACTGAATTAGTATAGCTTACTGGGCTTCCTTCTTGCTTGAATCATCTTGTATTGAATTCCAAACAGTTTTCTGTGTTTTGAAACATGGATCTATGAAGTGTGTGAATATGGAAAAGTGGTCTGGAGCAAATGTTGAATGTTGTGGCATTCTCATGTTGAGTACAGCAGGGCAGAAATGAAGAATTGAATGCAACAGTTTTATTAAGTAGTGATGGATTTTAACCAGCTTGTTTCCTTCTCTTTCATTTATTGTGCACATTCAGGAACCAAATTGTGTCTACCACACAGAGGACTAGAATAGGTTTCATTAATGTGTAGCATGTCTACAGAGTCAAGTTGGGAATTACATTAGGAAGGGTCAATGCTCGGTAGTTAGGTTCTCGGATTCTCTTGTAAAGATCTTCTGCAGGGGTGTCAAGTGGGCACACCATGAGACATCATAGGAACAGGAATAAACATGTGCTGCCTGTCAAGCTTGCTCTGCCATTTAAACTTTGGTAACATTTTAATTTAATTTACTTGCCTTTTCTCCTTACTCCTTAAAATACTGTATAGCCAGACATACCAGGGAGAAGAGCAAACTGAAAGTCAGGTCTCATCAGATCACTGTGCAAAACAAAAAGGGGTTCCCGAAATCAAGCTCATGCAGTACTTACTTACCAAGAATGTATCTATCAATTTCGCTTAAATGTGTCACATACTCCTGATGCCAAAGGTGCAATAGGCACTTAAAAAGGAAGAATTTGCAGGGTGATGGGGTAAGAGCAGGAGAGTGGGACTAGTTGGTAGCTTTTTCGAAGAGCTGGTACAGGCACGATGGTCCGAATGGCCTCCTTCTGTGCTGTGAAATTCTATGATTCTATGAAATGCAAGGATTATTATTAGAAAGGTATATGAAAGATTGATGCATGAAGGGGTATGGGGACAAGGGAGGGCAGTGGGATTGATTACTTAATGTCTTGACAACTGATGCAGACTTAAGGAGCTAAATGGCCTCCTCCTGTCCTGTAAATTTCTAAGATTTTTTGAATTTGATAAAATGTTGAAGAGGAAAAATATTAGATACAGGGAGCAAGCAGGGAGTTGGCAAAACCAAATTGTCATCAAAACACCAGCAAAGATTTTATGGGCAAAATAGCCTGTTTCGGTTCCTGTTTCTATGATTTTACAGATCAACATTTTACATGGCAGAAAGCTTGAGGTGTTTCAGAAAAGGTCTTCTAAGTATTTTCCTATGAGTTCACTTAACACATAAAACACCAATGAGTGGAGCCAACTAAAACCAATAATATATAAGGGAGGGGAGAATGGATTCTGGAGAGCTCATTTTTATTCAATGAACAGAATTAATCAGAAGTGAAGATGCCTCTTACAAGCAGCCAAATGCACTTGTTTTGCATGGATCACGTTAATGGACTCTTGTTAGGAAAGTGCTGCAGAGAAATAAAGGACCCCCTGTGACAACAGTACCCGTTCTATTCCCTTTTATTTACAGATGCTTTGCAGAACTGCAGCTGTGCAAAGAACACCATGCTCCTTATAAAAAGTTTCTTAGGCCCTTTCATCTTTGGCTCTCTCAGGATGCAGGAAGACAAGTAGTTTTTCTTTTAACAAACAAAAAGGAACCTGAAAAATGCTAACTAATTTAGCCA